GGGGTTGGGGTTGGTGGGAGGTCAGGGTGTGTGTCTTGTGTGTGTGCGTGCATGTGTGCGTGTGTGTGTGTGTGTGTGTGTGTGAGAGCATGAATATGTGCGCATGTGTGTGTATAGGTGTGTGTGCCTGCGCATGCGCGGTTTTGTATATGTGCATGTGTGTGCGCGCGTGCGTGTGTGTGCATGTAAGCCAGCTGTGCGCGAGAGCCTTTGTGTTGATCTACATGCGGATGCACAAGCAATAAATGAGCAGTGGGGGCCGGGGGCCATGCATGACTGAGCATGCACCGCTTTATTGCTGTAGTATGTCAATGTCATGTGGCGAGGGCCTCGCACAATGGTGGTTATGGACATGGCTGGCCGCAACACAACGCAAAGCCCATCGCGCCGCCAGCAACACGCCCCAACCCCCGACTTCAACAAGCGAAGTGCCCGCCCTTCACCCCACCCTTGACCCTGCACCTGCAACCCGTGCCCTGACCCCACACCCACACCTACGCCCGCGCAGCCCCCCACCTGGTCGCTGCCCCAGCCCTGGATGTCGCCCGCGCCGACCCCGGCTGGCGCCTCCGCGCCCACGCCCAACACGTCAGCTGCAGGAGTCGACAACCAGAGGTGGCGCGTGGGCCATTGCAAAGCAAGGCGCCGCTACGTCATTTGGAAGGCTCGGAATTGGGGATTTCCTTGTGATCCCTTGCAGGGCCAGTACAGGATCAGCCAAAACATCGCATCACGGCCCCCATCCACCCGACCGCTTGCCTGTCCATCTCACTTGCCCACCCAGTGGCCCAGCCACCCATCACTGGCCCTCACCAGTGTGCCACCGAACCGCCAGGTCCTTGGCCGCGGCCGCCAGGCTGTCGTCGTACTCATTCTTCTCTGGCGGCATGCCAGGGGAATACAGCCACGCGTCCCTGTTGAGGAGGGGCAGGGCGGCAAACCAGCGTCGCGGGGGGCTGATTTGACCCGGCGCAGCGACTGTGGACAGCGGGACCGCGGGAGCGCGGCCGCACGTGGGGGGCCCAGCCCGCGACGACCGCGCTGACCCCACTGGCAGCGCGCCACGGCCGATATGCTGCTCCCACCCCCTGCCGAAGCCCCCAGCGGCGAGCCTGGCAGCGGGTGGGTGACCCGAGGGTCGGCTGCCCACCAGTCAATCTTGCTGACTGCGTCGGGCGCCTTGTCAGCGTAGTAGGAGGTGAAGAAGGCCTTGAAGTCGTCACTGGTGAGGGTCTTGAACGCAAAGTGCTGCGGATCAGGGTGGTAAGCGCACGCGTATGTGTGTGTGTGTGCGTGTGTAAGCATGTGTGTGTGTGTGTGTGCGCGTGCATCGTGTGTGTGTGTGTGTGTGTGTGTGTGTGTGTGTGTGTTTATGTGCATGTGAGGCAAGGTGGGAAGCAATGCGTGCTGCATGTCACAGGTGCAGCGCACGCGTGTGGACTGTCCACACGCATAGAAGTGACTTCTATGCGCGTGAAGAGGGGGACACATCAACACAAGCCCGCCGCACATCGCTGCCGACTGCAAACCGCTGCATTACACCTGAGACGTCCCCCCTCCAGACCTGCAGGTAGTCCTTCACAAATGGTTCAAACTGCGAGGGGCCCCCCACCAACCCCTGGAGGTAATACAGGAAGTAAAACCTGGGTGGACCAAATTGTGTGAGGCGTGGTGCAAAGCTGTGTGCATGAGAGACTGGGCAGGGGCCAGGAGGGTGCAGGGCTCCTGGGGTCGCGCCTTTTCGCTCAACCGCAGGGCGACGGGCGCTGAGCCGGTGCCGCCTTGCTGGCCGCACAACAGCGGGGAGCCTGGCGCGAGGGGCCCGCGCGCTGTGCGCAGGCGCACCCGCAGCCCCTCCAACCCTCACAAGACCACCCCGTCAATGACGCCTGGCCCCCACTCCCCAATTAGAAGCCGCGCCCACCCTTTCTCGTAGGGTACGCGTGAGAAGGCGTCGTCAGGGTCCTCCCCAGCAGACAGGTCTGGCACCAGCCGGGTGAAATTGTGGTCGGGGCTGACGGGGGAGGAAGGGAAGGGGGAATGGGCGCCAGGGTCGGGGCGGGTCCGAGCGAAAGGGCGGGCGGCCGCACGCGGCGCGGACGGCGCCCATGCACGCGTGCATGGGTGCCGCGCGGCAAGGAGCCCGGACGTCTGTGCTGCTGTGTGGCCCCTTTGTGCGTCAAGGCGGGGTCAACCAGCCGCCCGCCCCCTCCGTCGCCAGCCCTTCGCGCAACATGATCAAACACACATACAAGTGTGTGGTCCCGTGGCCGCGCACCCAATGCGCGCCACCTCCTCCTGCAGGGACATGGCACCCCTGGACGCGTTGAACTGCAGCGCCTTCTCGCCCTGCAGCGCGGTAGGAGGGCGGGAAGGGGGGGAGGGGGCAGGTGAAGCGACGCAGCAGTTGCGGGCAGATGCAGGCGGCAGCCTGCTAGGCTTGACATGGCTTCACCCACGGCGGAGCCATGGGTGCGCTGCGGCATGCTATCGGCCTGGTCTGGCCACGAACAGGTACGATCGGCGCACATGGTCGCGCATCAGTGGTGCGGGTGCGAGGGACAGGTGTATCCATACACGCCAGGTGTTGCAGCCCAACCCTAAAGCAGTGGCTAAAGCAGTGCCATCTCGGCCACTCAACCCTAACACGCTCACATGTGCGCGCGCGCGCACACATACACACACACACACACATGTGCACGCGCACATGTGCATGCGCGTGTCCCTCCAACCTGCAGGCGTCCCAAGATCTTCCGCTCCAAGAACACTGTCCACCCCTCATTCAGCCAAAAGTCGGCCTGCGGGGCACCAGACCGGCGCAGCAGCGGCAGGCAACGAGGGGCGTACCCTGCATTTCTGCATCCGCACGTCGACCCGCCGAGCAGCGACGGCGATGGCGGCCGCAAGACGCAAAGGCGGTGCAGAGCAGGGGCCGACAGGGTCGTATCGTATCAGGCGGCGCTGAGCAATTTGAAGAACCCACCCAGGATGCGTTGGTGACCAAGTTGCCCTGGAGAGGATGGGGAGCAAGCGGTAGAGGGCCGGGGCAAATGAGAGACCAAGGACCACCAGGCGCCAGGGGCAGTCAAATGCAGAGTGGGTCAAATCGCAGCATGCTCCAAGGAAAGGGGTGGCGGTGGGACGGGGGCGCGTCTCGCGCCACAGGCCGGGCGGCTGTCCGAGCTGCTCTCACACGCGCGAGTGTGCTGGCCGTCGCTCAGCGCCCCGCGCTCTGACTCTGCTGCCCCGCGGGTTTCATGAGTAGCTGCTCCGACCGATTCCGCCCTAAACCCTCAACCCTCGATCCCTAACCCATCCACGCCTGCCCACCGTCCAGCTGTGTGCGATCTCGTGAGCCACCACGTTGGTCAGGCTGCGCAGCGACGATGCGCGCGGAGTGGCTGCGTCGGCGCTGCGCCCCAGCGCTGGCGAGGTCCATGGCCATCAAACCGCCCTGCCCGGGTCATGCGTCCGCCCGCCGCGCCGCCGTGACACCAAAGCGGCTCACGGTGCAGCTATCTGCAACCCCCGCCTTTGAATCCCTATTCGGGCCCCTGGGGCTTGCAGGCACGCAGCGCAGTCCCCTTTCCCCCTTCCGCGGCCTCGCCTGCGGTCGCCGGCCAGCAGCGTGGGGGTCACAAACGTGAGGCAGGGGTTCTCCATGCCGCCTGGCGCGCGGCGGGAGGGATGGGGCGTGCGGGGGTTTGGGGCAGGGGTTCGAGGTTCAGGGGGTGGGATTTGGGTTTAACCCTTTGCATTTGGGAGCAGGGGCAGGGCAGGGAGGTGCTCGCACAAACACTGTTCCCTAGACAGAGGAGCAACCGGCACAGCGGCTGCGATTAGGCAGAATCGGTGCGGCTGGGAGCACACAGGCCTGAACAGCTGCACAGGGATGCAGCAGCATGCAGCGGCCCCGGGCATGCCATCACGCCGCGCACCGTAGGGGAAGGAGGGCGGCAGCAGCAGCAGGTCGTAGCGACCCCACACGTAGGGCCCTGCGATGGACTCCCCTGCGCGGCGCGCGCGCGTGCGGCGAGGCGCGGCAGCGGCAATTTCACGTGAATGCGCGATGGTGGCTGCTCTAAGTGCCAGCGGCGGGTGCAGGAGCGGCGCCGGCGGCTGATCAACGCCCGTGCATCGGGCTGCCATATTGCTGTTGGCTCAAGCTGCCTGCAACCAAGTTGACTTTTGTCAATCTAGCGCCCAAGCAGAAGACAAAGCCACCATGCGCCGCCCACCCGCGTCGAGGAAGCGCGCCGTCTCTGCGAATTCGTAGGCGGCCGAATCCACCACGCTGGGCTCGCTCCACACACGCGTGCGGGGGGATATCTCGCGACTCTCCAGCTGCCCGGCCGCGAGGGCTATGAGGTATGATGGGATGGGCACCTTCTGGGTGAAATAGAAGGTGCGGCGCTGCAAGCATGGGGGCGATGAGGGGGAGGGCAAGAAGGGAGAGGGTGGGGAAGTCTGAGCAGGGTGCGAGTGGGATGTGAGGGGGTGTTGGTGGTTGCGGGTTGGGGGTTGCTGGCGTGGGTTGTGATTTCTGCAATGAGAGCAGGGAATGGGTGGCAGAATGATGATTTTTTGGAGGGGCAGAGGAGGGGTTTTGGACGAACGAGGCTGTGGCACGGGACGAGCTGCACGCACCAACCACACTCATGACACAACGCGCCCACTGCGATCCGGCAGCAGTGGCGAAAGCGTCCCCGCACCTCGCCCTCCGTCGCGGCAGCTCCCTCGTCCACGCCTGGCAGGCCCTCGCCCGCGCCGGCGCCGGCGTCCTGGGGCACAGCGCTCATGAGGGCCGTGAGGGCTGCGGGCACGCGCACGGCCGCGGTGTAGGGCGCCTTCACGGCGGGAGTGTCCTGCACCGGGGATGCATTCCGACATCATCAGGCATGGTTAGGTGCGAAGAGTCGCTTGGGTCTTGGGAAGTTGCAGCGGCCACAGACAGCTAGGTGCATAGATGCAGGGACAACAAGGAGACAGCAGGGCTGGACGCGCCGAGGCGGCCCGCGCCTGGCATAACGACCGGCCGCGACGCGCGGCCCCATGAAGCAATGCGCCCGGCCCTGCACGGCCCCACGCCGCGCGCCGGCTCCCCTGGAGCCCCCCCCCCCCCCCCCCCCGTGCTGACCTGGCATGGC